TTGAGGATTAGTTCAGGAAAAGTAGAGTTCCTGACAGGCTTAAGTGATGTGCAGAAGGCCATGCATGCAGTAAGCTAGCGATGAAGTTGGTCTTTGATCTTCAGCCCAATACATTTTCCATCCATGGCACTTTAATAATTTCTGAGATTTGTGATGTTGGCAGAGGGACAAAAGTTAACTTAGAGAAAAAAGGCACGCTCAGCCCGAGCATCCGCCTGAGTCCTCTGACACCATCATAGATAGATGGTCCCAGTTCAGTGCCCTGCTGGGATGCATTGTGCTTGGGCTGCATAAGAACAGGCTTTAGAGGGTGATAACCTTGAGAAATCATGTGGATAAGGAAACCAAAAATACATGTTGCCTCTCATTTGCTCTGGAGAATTTGACTACTTGTCTTGTTTCCTCAGTTTATTTCTGTCTTTGTGGGCACAGTTGCCTCCATAGCATGTCCTGATAGGTGGGGGATTTCACCCCAAAGATGTATACTGAGCTACCCACACTGCAAGGAGCCAGGACTGTGTGCAAAGTTAACTCTCCTGGGGATCCCACCTTTTCCACGTCTCTCAATTTGTTGTCTCTTCTCCATCCTGAGTTAGACCTTTATCATCTCTCCTTAGGTTGTTTGTGGGAGTTAACTAACTGTTCTCTTTTACTTTGGTCTTCTCTGTTGTTTCCGGAACTATCTTTATGTCCTAAATAGAACCATATTATTTCTTTGGGTGGGTTTAAATTTTTCAATGGTTCCCTATTGTTTACAAAATAAAGGTCAAGATCCCTTTATAGCAGCTAAGACTTTCCTCCATCTTGGATATTATCTGGGGGCCCTGTTTCCTTTGGTCCCCTGTTTCAGTGGCTCAGACATTATGCAAATAATTGCTGATTTACACCTTTAGATTTGTGTTCCTGTTGCTCCCTCTGCTTATCATGCCCTTCCCACTCTTAGGATTTCTCTACTATCTGCTTTGATAAACATCAGTCTTTTAACACTCAGATTCAGGGTGTCCTCTTTGGTGGAAACTTTCCTGACACCCCTCAGCTGGATCCCTCCTTTGCGTCTCCATCATTTCCTGCACTGACTTCTGGCATCTCTAACAATTTATTGCACCTAATTTCTTATATGTCTATTTGTCTTTAATCCAGTAGAATTTTCCTATAAATCTCAAGTTCATCTTATCTGCTCAATGTTTCATTCATCCCAGTATTTTCAAAGCCTTACCTAGTCTGGGGACACATGTTAAGTGCCCGATAAATGTTTTTTAAAGTAGTGAATACACATAGCTGATAAATGCACATTGTGACTTATAAGGATTGGCCTTGGAGTCTGGGTGAATGAGAAGGATCTTGACGAACACAAGTTAAGACACTATTTTGCTCTTGAACTCTTGATCTCAAGTGATTCTCCTGCCTTGGCCTCCCAGAGTGCTAGGATTATAGGCATGAGCCATCACGCCCGGGCATGAAATCTTCAAGCTATGAATGCTAAAGGATTTTTAGAAAGTGGTTTGGTAATAAAAACTGACCTGACTTGAACTAATTTTGTGGCAAAATTTGATCTCAATTAATTTCAAAGGGCCTCAGTACATGAAAAGATACATATTTTTGATATTAAATTTCCTTGTAGGGGAGCAATTAGGAAAAAATATCTAATAAAGCTCCTTGCGGGACAAGTCTTTGACTTGGCCCTCAGGGATGCCAGGTAGAGATTTGTTTTCTGATCCAAGCCACAAGAGTTCTGTGACCTTGAGAAAGCCTCAGATCCTCAGTTGTGAAATGTGGGAACAATCTACTGTGACATAGTGTGGGACAATCTTAAGAGCTTTGGAGAAGGGCACACCTGAGCTGGAATTCTGCCTCTTCCTCCCTTGTTACCTGGGGCAACTCCTTTATTTTTCTTCGGATTCCTCCTTTGCAAACTGGGAAGCATAACACTGACTTCATCAGGTAGCATAACAAGTAAATACAATAATGTTTGTAAAGTACCTGGCACCCAGTAGGCATTCAATTAACTTGGTTCATTTCCCTTTCTTCTAAAACGGTATCTTCTCTGCCTATCACAGAAGGTTATTTATGCAGACATTAGCAAAATGTAAAATGCTATTCTGTAAAAGAACAACATCTCCTTGAACCAACTTGCTTATTTTTGTTTGGATGAACATGTGTGAATTGACCAAGTGGAACAGAGGCTTCAGCTCCGGGTGAGTGGGTTCCGGGATAAGCTGTCTCTGAATCAAAGGGAAAGGAGACCCAGTGAGCCGTGGGCAAGTGTGCATATGGAGCTGCCTTGGAAACCCTCGCAGTTTTTAAGGGAATTGGGGGTTAAAATCATGTTTTTTAAGGAAGCGCCTAACTTGTAGAAAGAGGCTTCATGCCCCACTCATGGACAACCTCTAAACTGGAACAAAATCTGCTCTTTGTATGCAACTCCATTTTTCTATCAAATACGAACTGCCTTTTCTTTTGCTGTGCTGGCCCCATCTCCGTGGCTCCTTCTTATGAAGACATTCCTCATTTCCCAGTATTTAACATCCATTTCTTTGTTTCCTGTTGCTAAAGTTTTCAACTATTTTTTGCAGTATCTTACACACCTGACACATTTTTCATGCTCATTATATTCACATATAATTCACACTGTCTCGGACTCTGACAGTTCAATATTCTTACCTGAATCCTTCAGTGTCCGACCATGAATGTGCACCATCTGAGACTGGGTAGCTGGGACTCAGCGTATGTGATGGCGGGAAAATATTGCACTTGAAGGTGAAGTCCCTTTGAAGATTAGTTATACCAGATTTCAGTGTGTTCTCTCCAGTCTTCACTTTGCAAAGGGCAGAATCAGAGAGTCACGACATCATGGCTCTTCTGCCTGTCCCAAAGTGTCTCTGCTATGTGTGCTGGTCTCTCAGGCCCAAGCCTAATATAAGAATTAGCAAAGGGAATTTTATTTGATATAGAAAGAGAATGGGCATTCTTCTGGTAATGTTGGAGTTCCAGTGGGAGTTATTAAACAGTTTCCAAGCAAGCAAGTCCACACATATGCGTGCACACACACACTCACATGCACACAATGATGTCCACATTTCTCTGCTTTCCAAATTCTTGCAAGCCCCCAGAAGACATAAATCTATCTATTCTGTGCTTCTCTGAGTTTTGGGGAAACATTAGCCTGTGGAGACATCTAATGTGATATGACCATTCATTCTCAATAAGGATAACATGCCCAGATGGAAAACAATTGAATTAGGGGGAGCAAAATCTTAAATATTACAATGATATATTGCCCTTCAAAGGGCCAGTACATAAAAATATACATATATTTGATATTAAATTTCCTTGTAGGGGAGCAATTAGGAAAAAATATCTAATAAAGCTCCTTGTGGGGCAATAATTTAAAAATGTTGAGAGGCACTATCATTAGATAATATATATTAGGAGTCTTGGCTCAGTGCCTCTATCTTATAGGATTCAGGGAAGATCACAGATATGTGTCACCTACCAGGACTTTCTTGGCCAAATGTCAAGGCATTATAACAGTTTGGTACCTTACAAAATTTTTTCAATGTGTTGCAATTTCTTGAGCTTCCTTATTCTCTTGGCCAATGTTTGAGTGACTATTGGAGGCTGAAGGGTAACTTGAGCCAAGCATAGAGGGAGATGGGAGATTCATTGTTTCTCTACATGTCAATTCTCTTGGAATTCTTCACTTGGAGGAGAGGTGGATTCCAACACAGACCTAGTGGCTATTCCTAAATGACTCTGAATGCAATGTGTTTCTTTTCTCTCCTGGAATAGAAAATGGACCTTGAGGGCCTGAAAGGACTTTCTTAGGTGGTTTTGTTTTTGAACTATAGTGACTTGTCTTGAATTGTCTATGCATACATAGAAAAAATATATATAGTTTTGCTTCAGTTATAAAAGCTTTGGGGGTAAAATGCAAAGAAGGAATAGAGAGAAAAATAAAGTTCATGTTAACATAAAATTGTCAGTGTGGACTTTGTGCAGATATGCCTCCAAACTATATGAGTACCTGTGAGATTAATTTCAGTAGGCAAATCAATAGAATGGACCCAAGAACAGGAAATATCTGGTTCATGTATAGATCTGTCCATGTGTATATCTGACTTACAACTTAAAATATTTCTTCTCTTTTTAATAATTGGTGAAATATATTTAAGACTCTGTACTTACAATACAAAATCAAGTTATTTTAACAATTGGCTGGAAATTACAGAGTCGCCAGATATAGCACATATGAAATAATTGTCTATATTCTGTGTATATGCATATTTAGGAGGGATAGATAATAGGGAACATTGACTAAATGCCTGATTAATGCCAGGAGCAGTGCTAAACTTCGCAACTATCGTCCTCCCTACGTCGGTCCTATTTCATTCTTGTGACAGTCTAGTAAGTTAGTAAGGCTATTTCTGTTAGGTTCAGAACCACAGGGAGGGAGACACACGAAGCCTCAGGTGTAGGAAAATGCTGTTTATTTGAGCATCTGGGTGCTGATGGGTGGAAGTGGAAAAGAGCATCCACATGAGGAAGGGGAGAGCCCTGGATTTTATAAAGGGTTTTTCCAGGGGGAGTGAGCAACTGGGTGAGAACAGCCATTGTAATAAATTCTTTTCAAATAATCAGCTCCTGGGACCCCTGCATTGGTCACATTCTGCAGCTCCGGAGTCATCTTTACCAGGTAGGGTAGGGAATGCAAGTTTCCCTCTTGCATTCCATTCCTTTATCTCCCTAGGGGTTTGGCAAAGGCTACACCTAATGATTTCCATATTAACAGTTGGTGAAAGTGAGGTAAGTGTTAGCATGAGAGTAACAGATAACATCAAAGTAGCATTTAGGTTATTGATTTCAATCTTAGACTCCATACTTCTCCCCAGTCCACAAGCCCAGTAGCTCACATTGTTCAATTTCATCTCTTCCTTTGGTTCTTGTATTTCCACTAATAGAGTTCAGTTGCTAAGAAGATATACAGTAAAATGACTGAAGAGAAAAGAGCTAGCTGTCTCTTATTCTTAGACTTGCAGTTTGAGAAAACTAAGTCAGTCTTAGACCTCCAGTCTCAGGCTGACTGCCTATCCCAGTTTTCTGCTCTCAGAAGGCCCCAGCCTCCTCTGCAGTCTCCGCATGGCTGACTTCATCTCTTGGTTCCTCAGGGTGTAGATCATGGGGTTCAGCATGGGGGTGATGACTGTGTTATTGATAGATATGGCTGTGTCCATGGGCAGAGTAGTGAAGGGCCGGCAGTAGATGTAAACACAAGGCACGAAGTGCAGAGTTACCACCAGGATGTGGGAGGTGCAGGTGGAGAGGGCCTTGTTCCGCCCCTCCCCAGAGTGGGATCTCAGCATCACCAGAATGATAGTGTAGGAGCCCAGGAGCAGGAGGAACCACAGCAGGGTCACCAGTCCATTGTTAGAGATCATGAGAAGCTCCAAAGCAAAGGTGTCAGTGCAGGCCAGTTTCACCACCTGGGGCACATCACAGTAGAAGGCATCCAGAATGTTGGGCCCACAGAAGGGGAGTGGAAGCATCAGAATCACCTGGACAATTGAATGCAAACCACCACCCACCCAGGAAGCCATCACCAAAGCCAACCATACCTCTTTCCTCATAATGGTCACATAGTGCAGGGGTTTGGCAATTGCAAGGTATCTGTCATAGGCCATCACAGAGAGGAAAAAAATATCTGCCCCACCAGCAAAGTGGAAGAAAAAGATCTGTGCCATGCATCCATTGTAGGAGATAGTTTTCCTCTCTGATAAAAGATCCACCAGGAACTTGGGGACAGTGATAGATGAAAAAACAATATCCAGGACCGATTTGTTCCGCAGAAGAAAGTACATGGGTGTGTGGAGGCGGGACTCACAGGTGATAGTGACCACAATGAGGGCATTTCCCAGGATGGTTGCTACATACACAGCAAGGAAGACCACAAACAAGAGGAACTCTAGCTCCCGAAAGCGAGTAAGTTCCAGGAAGATAAATTCCTTCACATTGGTGTGGTTGACCTGGTTCATGATGAGAATGACCTTCTTTCAGGTCTACATTGAGAGAAGATATATTAGGGTTAGGATTGTGGTGTCATGAGATGGTACCATAATTCTTCACATATTGTTATAAAGCTTTCTCAAGCACCTAGATCATAGTGGCTACTCAGAAAAGCTAGGCTAGAATCTTCCCCTGTAGTCTGGAAATTCTTTATTCTGATGGTTCTTCTTTCCTATTGTAGATGTTCTGCACAGAGAGTGATGAATGGAATGTAGTCATTTGCCTGTGGTTTATCTTCTTCCCTGTAAGAATAACTTTGGCACATGCATGCCATGCTTTATACTTTACCAAGGGCTTTCAGCTGTAGCATCTCAACTTGATTGTAATTCTAACGATGCCCCTGTAGGGTCTTTATTAGTTTTATTTCCCTTTTACCCAAAGGACAATACCTTGATAATGGGTCTTTAGAATGATTACGATTATCTCCATTTTATATATGGTGAAACTAAACCTTAGAGTAATTAATGATTTGACCACATCTACATAGTTGCAACGTTAGTGAATTGTAAGTCAAAGATTCAAATTCAAATACTTTTTTAGACTTGACAAAGACTCCCTCCTTGACCATATTTTGGTTAAACGCCTTCTTCTCTTCTAGGTCTGAACCTTGGCTGTCTATATCTGTTCTCACTGAGCCCAGTTTTAGCAAGAATCCTGTTAAGTCAGTTTAGTGAGAATTCCCCACCATGGATATCTAATCAAATTCCTCATCCCTCACTCTTAATATCTAAGCCCTTGGACAGTCTTGAGCAAGAATTCTTTTAAGCCAGTTTAGCAAGAATCACCCTACCCTTGCTAACTCATTTTAATAATCCTCCATCCACTGACTCCCTCCCTCTGCTCATTGGCTACACATCCCCACTTGTCTTTGTTATATTTGGAGTTGAGCTCAGTCTCTTTCTCCTATTACAATAGTCTTCATCCCTATAGCAATAGTTTGGAGTGAAATCTATGTTGCTGTCTTTAATAATTTTCTCATGAATAGTTTTTTTCTTTAATAGCCTCCAGAGGTTTTTCCACTGTGCCAGATCAGAGAGTCTGAGGCTTACTTTGGTCTATCAGAATTTTAGTGGGTGATAAGGCCAATTACTTTATCCTCATCTCATCCCCTAAAGGAAGAGAAGAGTCAGGCCTGCATAGGTACTCCTCTCTGGCGCTCTGGGAAAACTGGACCTCACAATTCACACACACGGCTCTTGATAGAATATAGACCCATAATCAGGGAATATTAACATATTACAGAAAAACTGGTCATTAAAGCTTCAGAGGACTTCAGAGGTAACGTAGCCCAACACTCCTTACTTAGGGGTGAATACAGAAAGAAATTCATTTTTCCACAATCAGACTGAATTGGTGATAAATAAATCTGGTTAATTATTTATTGACTAAAATTCCAGGGATTTTCTATTTTTATATAAAAGCCAAATAGATTTTTTTGAAATAAAAAATTAGCCATCAGAGGACAAAACTGAGAATAGTCTCAATAGGAATATCTATATGTCCTAGGGGTGAGATCAAGACGGCTGACTAGACACAGGGAGTACGTGCTACCTCCATGAAGAGGAACCAGAATTATAAGTAGACACTCACATTTCTAGGAGAGAATGCTGGGGTATACCAGAGAAGTGACAGGAAGCACCAAAAGTGAGTAAGGAGAGGGTTCAAAAGAGTTTGACCAGCAAGGAACTTGCTGATATCCAAGAGGAGTTTCTGGATGTGGGGAAACACGTAAGAGAGAAATTTCTGGGGCTTCCCACTCTGAAAAGGACTTTTAAAGTCTTGGCTATGGAAAAATCCCTTGCCTCATATGGGCCTCAGGCCTGCCATAGGGAGCTGCCTAGAGATTTCACAGAGACATTGCTCTAGAAAGGGAACCCTCACAGAACACCACGGGCATCCAAGCCTAGAGCACCTCCAGCTGGGCACCATTCCAAGAGCCTAGATACTGAAGATCTAAGGTAAAGATGCAGGAGCTGCTGCTGTGCTGCTCTTGGGGCTCCCATACAACCCTGAGAAGGTCCCCAACACCCTGCTGCTGGCTTTTGTTGAGACTGAGGCGTGAGTGGATCACACTTTTCACACCTTCTTTTCCATGCTGTGTACCTGGAAGGGGCCCCACCTTCTCTGGTTGCAGGCCCAAGGTGCCATTTTGACAGTTTGATGCTGGGCTGTGCCTCACCCTTGGGCAGAATTCAGTCCTACATGGCCGCGGTCAGGGAAACTAGATTCTCCTATGCATACCTATGAAAATACACACTGCTCTATAACTGGCTGCTGTGAGACTCAGACATAAATGGACTGGATTCCCTATAGCAGGCATCTCAAACTATGGCCCATGGGCCACATACGGCCCACAGAGGACATTTATCTGGCCCACTGGGTGTTTTTGCCACCACTGCCTGTCCTGCTTAGCAGCTGACTCGTCCCGGGCCCACAGTGCGCATGTGTGGAATGTGCGCTGCACTCTCCAACGGCCCTCCAACGGTCTGAGGGACAGTGAACTGGCCCCCTGTTTAAAAAGTTTGAGGACCCTTGCCCTACAGCTTCTTGCCCATGCTGCTCACCTGAGCAAGGCCTCTGGTAGCAGGCCCACAGCTGGCACCATTTAGAGACTTTAATGCTGGGATGTGCCCCACTCTTAGGCCAAGTTTGAGGTGATGCAGCTGCAGTTGTTACCCAGCCTGGGAGGGACAAGGAAGATTGAGCCCTCTTAAGCACACCTAGAAAATAGTCACCACCCTGCCATCAGTGGCATGGGTCTGCAGACTAGCCCACTCATCCCACTGTAGCTACCAGCAATGCTGGCATGGACCCTTTTGGTCCTAGTGGGTTACTCCACCACTGCAACAGCCATCACCCACATCACACCAGCTGCCGAGGAGCCTGAGAACCTAGCCACACACTTGGCTCACTCCTCCCACTATTAACTCCTGAGAAAGCCACCTGGAGGCCCAAGAATTGGCCCTCCAGAACCTACTAACACTGGTGCTAGTGTAAACTTCTCTGGGACCTAAAAACAGGCATACATAGCCCATGGCTGCCACCACCAGGGACTGAAAACTGGCTCAGTTGGTGTCCAATTCCCCTGTAAAACTTCACCACAGCCTCAATAATAACCCTAAGCAACCAAGAAAATCACAGATACACTAACCCTGTGTACTGCTTAAGAAATCATGTAAAGATCACAGTACATTAGGCACCCAAACCAAAGCCAACATGTCCTACTTAAGCAACAATATGCACACCTCTTCAGGAAAAATTCCCCCCTATGAAAGAAATTTATAAAAAATTAGATGAAGTGTCTGCTACACTAGATGTGCAAATATCAATGGCAGGACACAGGAAACATCAAAAAGCAGGGAAATATGATGCCAGCAAAAGACCAAAACAATTCCCCAGCAACAAATCCCAATTAAAAAGAACTCCTCAGAATGCCAGACAAAGAATTCAAAATATCAATTTTAATGAAACTCAAGAAGATGCAAGAGAAATCTGATAACCAACACAAATAAATCAGTTTAGGATATGAATAAGAAATTCACCAAGGAGATAGATATCTTAAAAAAAAAAAAACCAAACAGAAATTCTGGAAATGAAAAATTCATTAAAGGAAATACAAAATATATTGGAAAGCTTCAATAATAGACTAGACCAAGTAGAAGGATGAATCTCAGAACTTGAAGACAGATCTTTTGAAATAATCCAGTCAGAAAAAAATAAGAAAAAAAGAACAAAAAAGAATGAATAAAGCCTTTGAGACATCTGGGACTATGTAAAGTGACCAAACTTATGAATTATCAGTATTCCTACAGGGAAAGAGAGATCAAAACATTTAGAAAACTTATTTAAGGAAACAATCAACAAAAACTTCCCAAGTCTAGAAAGAGAGTTAAGCATTCAGATAAAGAAGGCCCAGCCTCAGCAACATAGTAAGACCACTACCTCTACAAAAAATAGAAAATTTAGCTGGGTATGGTGGCACACACCTGTAGTCCCAGCTACTCTGGAGGCTGAGATAGAAGGATCACCTGAGCCCCGGAGTCTAGGGTTGCTGTGAACTATGATGACACTACTGTACTCTAGCCCAGGCAACAGAGCAAGACTCTGTCTCAAATAAATACATAAATAAATAAAAAGTGGGCTAAGGACATGAATAGAAACTTTTAAAAAGATGACAATTACATGGCCAATAAGCATATGCAGAAATGCTCAACATCACTAATCATCAGAGAAATGCATATTAAAACCACAATAGGATATTCTCTTACATCAATCAGGATGGCTATTATTAAAAAGACAAAAAATAACAGATGTTGGTGATGCAGAGAAAAGGGAACTCTTATACACTGTGGATGGGAATGTAGAATAGTGCAACATCTATGGAGAACAATGTGGAGATTTCTCAAAGAACTAAAAATAGAACTCCCATATGATCCAGTAATCCCACTTCTGAAAAGAAAAGAAATTTATATATAAAAAAGATACATGCATTCATATATTTGTTGTAGCATTATTCACAATAGCAAAGATATGGAATCAACCCAAGTGTCCATCAGCAGAGGACTGGATAAAGAAATGTGGTACATATACACAAGGGAATTCTATTCAGCTGTAAAATAGAATGAAACTGTGTCTTTCGAATCAATATCAATGGAACTGAGGCCATTATCTTAAGTGAAACAACTCAGACACAGAAAGACAAATACTGCATGTTCTCACTTATAAGTGGGAGCTAAATAATGTGGACACATGGAAGCAGAGTGTGGAACAATGGACAGTGCAGACTCAGAGGGGTGGGGGGTCGGTGGGGGTGGATGATGGGAGGTTGCTTGGTGAGTACGACGTGTGTTGCTTCAGTGATAGATGCACTGAAGGCCTTGACTTCACCACAATGCAATATATACAAATAAAAAATAAATTGGAAAAAAGAATATTTGTGTGTCTCAAGGGCTCATATCCCAGATAATTTTTAAAAATTTCAGTTCT